ACAGTTCTCCGCCAATGAAAAGACGGTATTTAATCATTCCTCGTTCCGCGAAGCATTTGAATGCACCCGTGTCAATTTTTCAACCGGCCGACCACGCATGGCTTCGCTTTCGTCGGCGATTCTCCAGCTTCTACTAATCGGACAAAAAAACAACTTACACCATTGTAACGAGGAAAAGCTGAACTTTTACAAGGTGTATGGCACTTGGTGTTTTATAGCGAAAGAGCAAAGAAACAGCGATCGGAATTACCCCGATTTCACCGATACCACGCGGTCGGAAGGCCGCGAGTGCCCGTGAGGCGTGTTTATGCTACCTACTTGGAAACTGGAAATTTACATTTTTTGTGCCTTTAATCAATGGTTTTCAGTAAAATCCACACAGAAATGTGTTTTTAAAAGATAAAAAGTGTTGAGCCAAATAAAGAAAATTAGAAAAAAATTGCCCATCGGCAAAAACCCCCCAGCAGATTTCTTTGATATAAATATTTCTAAGTGTGCCTGATTTCATCAAGATGCCTCACATTCACATTATATTACAACAAACAAGAAAGCAATTACACACAAAGCTTTGAACAGCTACGAAGCCATCAGCCTAAACTAAAGCCAGATAAAATCCAGATTAAAAAAATTTATCCGCAAAAATGGTACTACTGAAGAGCAGAGCAAGCGTTCCCCTCACCTGTAGGTCATGGCCTCGATGAGGACGGGCCGGAACTGCGACACACAGATCTCCCGAGACAGTTTTGTGGCGTTGTACACGGCAAACACGTCGTTCCCGTCCACGCGGATGGTGGGCATGCCGTAGCCCGACGCGCGGGATGCTGAGGACACCACCAGGACAATTACAATAATAATAATGATAAATAGCATTTGTATAGCGCATAACCTCGCTCTACAGCAAGCTCTTTGTGCTTTACACTATATTATTACCCCAGCAGACCATAGAACACTCAGAAACCTTCTCAGCTTCCCAGGAAGCATACCATGCAAGCAGCTGATTAAGCGCTCAAGGCAGACCGCTGTATCTGCAAAATTATTAATTTTTGCACCTTCGTTTAAATGGACGCCTATACCCATTCTGCCTCGTGTGTCAAAGGCAAGAAGACGTATCTGCACTATAAATAAAATATTTCACTATGTCAAACAGACGTAACTGAAGAGCCTAGCCCATATTTCCAATGGCAGCGGGACGTAATTCAAAATCATAAAAAGTGCAGATACATCGCTCTGCCTTGGCACGGCAGTATAGCTGGGTACCCATTCCCACCTGGATGAAGAGAAGAAAATTCCTGTAAATTGCCTTTCCCAAGGACACAACATCAGGTCCATGACAGGATTCGAACCCACGATCTTATGGTTGCGAGACTGGGAGCCTAACCACTATGCCACAAATTATTCATTCACTGTTACGACAAAACAATACCATCACAGATAACTGAGCTTCAAATTCAGCAAATTTTCGTCCTTGTGGTAGGACTGGCTAACCCCAGCAGGCTACATTTTACAAGAGAAGCAAAAAATTTGGTTTCCATCTTGCAGCAATCTGGCTGCCAATACAATAGGCCTCTGTGAGACTACGGTACGATAAACCTAAGTTTTAAGTTCTTGGGAGATTTTGGGAAAGTGCTAGAGAGATAATTAGAACAAATAAAAGGTAGAATTTAAGGTGGGAGTGCATTTATGTCATAAACAAGGAAAAGTCTAGTCTATATAAGAGGACATTTCAATGTAATTTTCTAAACAGAGAGCAATATCATTCCTGCCACAAGCAAAAACGAGCAACACGTTCTTTTACTCACCCAGAAAAACTGGGTAAAATGTAGTTACTTATTTTTCTTGCCACAGTGACAACATTGTATATTGTCAGAGACTCCAGCAGCGAGTTTCTTCCACTTACCGATGCCGTCCCCTCTGTACTGGTCCTTGGTCGGCGTGGAGATAGCATATCCGTTGTTTCGGCTGTTGAACAAACAAGCACAAAATCAGTCAGAAACAGGTTAGCAAATAGGCTACTTCATACAGGATGCCACCCTCGACATCAGTAATTAATATAATTAATTAATATAATTAATACACATATTTTGGAATAGACCTAAGGGAATAATAACTGGGAGACGCAAAGAAAAGAAGGGACATATTTACAAAAGACAGCCTCAAACCACCCACTTTAAGAATACAATGCAATAACTCAACAGATATACACTACAAGTTAACTTTCTTTTAAAAAAGTGGATTCTACGGTATTATACTATTAAACATCAAACAAATCAAGTTGCACCTCGCATACAAACCAAAAAAAAGTGAATATGCTAATGAAAATAGCCCAATATATTATGATTTATTAGCACACAAACTGTTTTATGCTTGACATTGGCAGAGTTGTGAACAAAAGTCCTATTCCGTCAACTTTCTTACATTTTACATCAAATATATATAAAAAAAGGTTTTATTCCAATTTTCATTCACAGGATTAAAGCAAAAATATATTTTAAAAATTATGTTCCAACTTCCATTCACATGATGTAAACAAAGATATGAAAAGAAGTTCTGTTCAAACTTTCTTACACTCTATATTAGCATTCAACTTTACTAGCACACACAATAAAAGTGAAACATGTGAACAAAGCTTCTATGGAGTCAAAACTCCCTACAACACAAATCCATCCATGACCCACCCTAATGACCTGCCATGCAACTACAACACAAATTCCCCCATGACCTGCCCTACAACTACAATACAAATCCACCCATGACCGCTGACTCACCAGAAGAAGATGACGGGGCAGTTGAGTACACCGGCAAAGTTGAAGGCCGCGTGGGCGTCACCCTCAGACGCCGCCCCCTCGCCGAAGTAGCAGACCACACACAAGCCGTTCTGCTTCATCTTGTACGCGTACGCAGAGCCCGCCGCTGTGGAAAGGAAAAAAACCACAATGACAGGACCTGGTCATTCACAAGTTTCTCACAAGCCTGTTGTGGTTACTTACTACATGATAATGTCTAGAACACGGCTGAGCAAATATTCCAGAGTAAGGGCTGCATGAAAAGGGTAAACAATTTACTGGGCTCCATAGTTTATTATGCAAAATAATAAGTATCGGTATCCAAAACATCAATAAACAATGCACTCAAAATAGTGACTTCATTTGTTATTATGTTGCTTCATTCATTTACAGTTGTTATGTTGCTTCATTCATTTACAGTCATCATGTTGCTTCATTCATCTACAGTTATCATGTTGCTTCATTCATTTACAGTCATCATGTTGCTTCATTCATCTACAGTTATCATGTTGCTTCATTCATCTACAGTTATCATGTTGCTTCATTCAACTACAGTTATCATGTTGCTTCATTCCTCTACAGTTATCATGTTGCTTCATTCATCTACAGTCATCATGTTGCTTCATTCATTTACAGTCATCATGTTGCTTCATTCATCTACAGTTATCATGTTGCTTCATTCATTTACAGTCATCATGTTGCTTCATTCATTTACAGTTATCATGTTGCTTCATTCATCTACAGTTATCATGTTGCTTCATTCATCTACAGTTATCATGTTGCTTCATTCATTTACAGTCATCATGTTGCTTCATTCATCTACAGTTATCATGTTGCTTCATTCATCTACAGTTATCATGTTGCTTCATTCATTTACAGTTATCATGTTGCTTCATTCATTTACAGTTATCATGTTGCTTCATTCATTTACAGTTATCATGTTGCTTCATTCATTTACAGTTGTTATGTTGCTTCATTCATCTACAGTTATTATGTTGCTTCATTCATTTACAGTTGTTATTATGTTGAAGTTACAACTGACCCTCTTACTGCAATGTCAGTGACAGGTGACAGAACACCTGCCAGACACACCTGTGGGCAGTCGTTTACCCACCACTGGTGTAGAACAATGACAGGACCTCTTGATTAATAGGTTTCTCATAAACATTCAATTTTATCTTGTAAGCCATCAGGGCTTCGAGGTAAGATGAGAAGGCCTGCGTTTCGCGCTGCTAGTCACTTTTGGCTGAGTTCTCTCGCCGTGCGGTCACGCCTCGTGTTTCTCTTGGATTAAAATTTTTTGTTCCTGCGGGTTTTGGTTTGTTAACCTTTTTCTAAGATTTCCTGTTTGCCTGGGACTCACGTGAGTAGGCTTTCTTTTTCAAAGACGTGAACAAATTTGAAATAATATTTACAAACATGTCCGTAATAGAAACAGACGAATTCCACCTGGCAGATTTTGACTTTGAAGACGACGATTGTACTGGGCCAGAGGAAAATAAGAAACCGGCTCAAAACGAAAGTCCCGTATCAGAACAAAAAGGACCCGATAATGATGGTAATCAAATGCCTGGGGTACAGGCAAATCTTTTGTCTGCTATTGAGATGCAGACAAAACTATTAACAAAAATTTTAAAGTCGAACAAAGTATCTGGCAAAATAAGAGGACGAAAGAAATCAAGGTATGAAAATTCCTCTTCCTCTTCATCGTCATCTGCTTCTTCATCATCTTCGCCACCCTGTTCCCCAATAAGAAAGAAACAAAAGAGAAGGGTTAATTCTCCTTCACCGAAACGGTGCACTCCAACCCTCCCCCGCTCTCCTTCATCCTCTTTTCCATCTCGCGTGGTGCGTGAGGCCGGTGAAGGTCAACGTGACCGAACTGACCGCTCCGTTTCCCCCGGCGAGGTTGAAACATCAGCGGATGAGATGGAGAAAGAAATAAGGGGTGCTGCAAATTTAAACCCCGCGGATCATAATAGTAATTGTAGGGAAAACCTTTTCGAGGACGCTGAGGCAGAATTGTTGATGGAGGATGAAGTGGGCCACCAATTTCGGACACATTAGCAAAGTTTGTCGCCAATCGTTTCCAAAAGAAATTAAGCGACAACATTCTGAAGAAAAAATTAGGGGAATACAAACAACCATCCAATTGCCCTCAGCTATCTGCTCCGCAGACAAACAATTTCATATGGAAAGCCCTCCGGGCACCATACCGTCGAAACGATGCGCGCCTCACAAACACACAAACCAATATTGCCAAGGTCGCCACGACAGTGGCCACGGCAATTGATAATCTCCAAAAAAGAAAGGAGAGAGATCTTGATTTTCAATCGACTATGGGGCACCTTTTGAATGCCTTGTCTAACATGGGACACACGCATCAGCATCTGACAGCGTTCAGAAAGGATGCTCAGCGCTACACGCTTCCACATGATTACAAAGGAGTGTGTGATGTTGAGGCAGGAAGCAGCAAACTGCTTTACGGAGAGGATGTAAAGAAAACTCTCCGAGAAGCGAAAGAAGAAAAGCGATTGGCTTCCAGCCTCACAGAAAAAAGCAGTTACACTGCAAAACCATTTAACAAAGGCAAGTCTTTTTTAGGAAGACAGAAGCCCTTCGGGCAAGAACAACAAAAGGGTCGCCAGTTCCAAAAACGCCCTTTTCGACAGATGGGACAACAGTTCCGCAAGAAGCAAAAATAGTGGAAGAAAACCCTCAGGTAAGCGAAAAGGTCATGAATGACAACAGCTCTGTAGCAATAGACTGTCTCGTAGAAGAAATGAATGCTTTCCAAGCAGGTCAGATCAAAGACAAGATATCAGAATGGCGGACACTGACATCTGACTCCCAGATCCTTGAAATGGTACAAGGAACAAAAATTGACTTTAGCTGTGAAAGTGCACAACCATATTATTGCACTGATTAGAGCATTTCCTTTACTCAAGAGGAAATGACAGCTACAGACAAAGAAATATCGAACCTTTTACACAAGAAAGTTATAGTTGAAACATTGCACGGACAAGGTGAAGTTGTCTCTGGCATCTTTACGAGAGAAAAACAAGATGGTACCTTCCGGGTGATTCTGAATTTGAAAAAATTGAACAAGAGCTTAGTTTACAAAAAATTCAAAATGGAAACCCTAAAGTCTGCGCTCACCCTGCTTAGTCCAGGCTGTTTTATGGCTAGCATTGATTTAGTTTCGGCTTACTACAGTGTCCCCATAGCAGCAGAACATCAAAAATTCTTGAAATTCAAATGGAAAGACAAACTGTTTAAATTTACTTGTTACCCTAACGGCTTGGCTCAAGCGCCCCGCAACTTCACAAAGCTTACCAAACCCATATTTTCCCATCTTCATAGTATCGGTCATGTCAGTTCGAGTTATCTCGACGATTCATTGCTCGTGGGAAACACCGAAAAAGAATGTGAGAAGAATGTGTCAGATACAGTTTCCCTATTTAATCGGCTGGGTTTTGTGGTTTACCCACACAAATCGTCATTCAAACCCTCTCAGAGAATTATATATCTGGGGTTCGAAATTGACTCAGTCACAATGACCGTTTATCTGTCAAAAGAAAAAAGGGAACGAGTAGAAAGTCATTGCAGGGTATTCTTACGAAGGTCAGCCCATTCCGTACGAGAAGTAGCTCGTCTAATCGGCTTACTGGTATCATGTTTCCCCGCGGTGCCGTTTGGCCCCGCCCACTACAGATGCCTAGAAAGGGAAAAGGTGCAGGCAATTAAGAAAACTAGAGGAAATTGGGATAGTGTGATGCAGTTGTCGAGAACGGCACTGGAAGAAGTTAAGTGGTGGTACCGGCACGGATTGTCTAGTGTTTCTCCGATTTCTCGCCCTGATCCGGACCTAGTAATTTTCAGTGACCCGAGTCTCTTTGCGTGGGGCGCTGTGTGCGGAAATGAGAAAACAGGGGGGGGGGGGCGTGGACAGTAGAAGAGAAAGAACTGCATATCAATGAATTAGAACTATTAGCTGCTTTCTTGGCTTGAAGATCCTTTTCCAAAGGGCTAAAAAACGCAGTCATCAGAATCTTTGTTGACAATACCGCAACCATGGCTTGTTTGAACAAAATGGGATCCTCCAAATCCCTCTCACTAGATAATTTATCAAAGAAAGTCTGGGCATGGTGTGAAAATAAAAACTTGTGGTTATCAGCAGCAAGAACAGCTGGGAAAGATAATGTAGATGCGGACAAAGAAAGTAGAACAATCAACATTGACACAGAATGGATGTTGAGCGCATCTCTATTGAAATCTTCACTTTCAGTGCTACAATTCAAACCAGACATTGATCTTTTTACCTCCCGGCTTAACAAACAATTTCCAAAATACGTATCCTACAGAGCAGATCCCGATGCTTTATCGCTCGATGCTTTTACAATGAACTGGAAGGGTTTAAAATGGTATGCTTTTCCACCTTTCTCTCTCATATCCAGAGTCATACAAAAGGTGAAGAAGGACGAAGCAGACGGGATCATCGTGGCACCATGCTGGCCCACACAGCCTTTTTTCCCTCTTCTGATGTAAATCCTCGTCGAAAAGCCAGTCCTTCTATCTGCAAGAGAAAATTTGCTCCATCTACCAAGCAGTCCGGACCAGAAACATCCTTTACACAAAAAGCTTCGCTTGCTAATATGCAAAGTGTCAGGGAAAAATTCGAAAGTGAAGGCCTTTCTGGAGCTGCAACCGACCTTCTCATGTCCTCATGGCGAAATGAAACAAAGAAGGCGTATCACCGATACATTGAAGACTGGAAGCGGTACGCGGTCCTCCAACAAGTGGATTCAATTTCACCGCCATTAAACGTAGCGCTCAATTTCCTTGCTACATTAGTCACGGAAGGGAAATCGTACTCTGCTTTATGCATTGCAAGGTCTGCCCTGGCATGTTATATCAATGTGGAAAATTGTTCAGAATCTTTTGGTAACCTGCCTCAAGTTAGGAGATTTATGAAAGGAGCTTTTGAGTCTAGACCTAGTCTGCCTCTAAAAAGCAGAGTAGCCACTTGGGATGTAAACACAGTACTTTCTTTTCAAGAAACATGGTACCCCCATGAAAGCCTCACTTTAAAAGAACTGTCTTTAAAGCTCGCCATGTTGTTGGCCCTCCTGTCTGGACAAAGGTGTCAAACTTTGTATAAATTAGACACTAACTACATGACTTTGACATCAAACAAATGTACATTTTTCATTTCAAATCTGTTGAAGCATTCTCGCAAGGGTTGTCACCAGAAGCCTCTAGAATTTTTGGCATTTGAAAATTGCCCACAGCTTTGCATCGTAGAAATCCTGACTGTGTATTTGAACATGACAGGAGAGCATAGGAAACACAACAACACAAGTCGTCTCCTGATCAGTTTCAAAAGGCCACACTTGCCCATAAGTAAGGACACATTATGCAGATGGATTAAATCTGTTCTGGACCTGGCAGGTATTGACATTGCATTCTCTGCGCATAGCACTCGCTCTGCGAGCACATCAGCTGCCTCTGAAGCAGGTGTCCCACTCACTACAATTTTAGAGGCAGCAGGCTGGACGCAAGAGAGTACCTTTACTCAATTTTACAAAAAGCAAGTAAAACACAACTTCGGACAACGTCTGCTAGACACATACTTTTCAAAATCCACATGACTTATTGCATTTATTGATCGGACAATATATATCAATATCTATACATGTATTATACTGACATCATTATTACAAAACTTGTCAAGGATTGAAATATTCTGTATGTTAATCACCGTACTACGGTTTTGCTTTGGTTCATTGGCCGTTACAGGTCACCACTCTGTACATATTATCATCCCATGACAAGGCATGGTGGGAAAAGGAGTCTTTCCTTCATGCAGACTAAAACTGATCTATTGCATTGAGCAGTTGGACTTTACAAGTCTATGCTGTGTATAATATTGTCACTGCAATTCATAAAGTTGAAGGATGTTTACTTTATTTGAATGGCTCATGTTTACATTGCATTAGTTGGTGGACAGTACATGCGCCTTATTTGTGTATAATTATCTCATCACAAATCAGGGAGGTCAAGGTTTCTTTATTTCATGCAGCATGAAACTGATTATTACACTGATGGATTGGACATTACATGTCAACTTTATACGTACGGTATCTTTATCTCATCACTTGTTCGGTGGAAGAAAACTCTTTACTTATGCAACATGGAGTAAAATAATTCCATTTAATTAAGAAACAATTTGACATTACATGTCTATACCTCTTACCACTATCTCAACACAATTCATGGAGTTGGAAAATGTTTTACTATTTTCAGTGTTACTGATTTGTATAAATGGACTGGACATTGCATGTCATTTTTTCTTTTAACTTTATTCCGCATGCATATGATTTATTGCATTTAAGTGTTCTGCATATTACGCATGCAGATATCATCACTATGTCACCACATATCATCTTGAAAGAAAATTCTTTACTCATATATTCAAAATGTTATTTGGATTATAAGCTAAACAGCAAATAAACACTCATGATGATTTTAAATTGTTTTACAAACATATTATTCTTATTATGTGACAATGTTCTCTTGGCTTTGCTTGAAAGGCAGTTGTCCTAATTCGGTTTAGCGACTCGATAGTCACATTCTGGCTCTAAAGTCTCATCTTACCTCGAAGCCCTGATGGCTTGCGAGATAAAATTAAAGAAACATGCGATCTTACCTGGGTAAGTGAAGCTTGTTTCTGATTTTGTCGAGTAAGTCATCAGGAGCTGAGTGGGAAGATGCCCACCCTTTCCCTCCCTTTGAGACAAAGTCAAAAGCATTCCATGCTTTAAGATGACAAAATTGTGAATGTGACTATCGTGATCTTAAGTGTGACTAGCGGCGCGAAACGCAGGCCTTCTCATCTTCCCACTCAGCTCCTGATGACTTACTCGACAAAATCAGAAACAAGCTTCACTTACCCAGGTAAGATCGCATGTTTCTTTAATTATTTAGGGAAAAAACCAGGACAGAACCCCATCACTTTTAGGCTTCTCAAAAGCATTTGATAATTAAGTGCACTATGAAGTCTAGATCATGTTTTATTATTCAAGTTAACAGAAGCACATCCACATGACAACAGTCATTTAGTGTTTGGAAAAAGCAAGAGATAGACAGGTACAAGCTGTAGAGGCATAGCAACAAATTGACACCTACCACTGGCATGTATGTATCCACCAAGTTAGGTCAAATAGTTGTTTGGTCTCAAATTAGGTTATTCACTAATGTAATCACATTCGGCGATACACTCTATGGTGTAAACAGATCACACTCCACAAAAATTATCAATAATTCTGGAAGATGATAAAAAAAAGACATTACATTTTTTCCCCCACATTTCTCAAAATGAGTGCCAACGCACACGCACGGGTAGAGTTGGCCAGCGATGATAGCAAGACGTACCTTGGGGCATCTGTGTGGCCAGGGTGGAGGAGATGGTAACAAAGTTGTGCTCCTTTGACCCGTAGTGGACGGGCATCTGCCGGCCTTTGCCCCAGTCCTTGTCGTTGCCGTAGCACTGGTTCATGAACTGCTGCAAGGGGAAGCCTCGCCACATCAGTACACCTGGACAGGACAGACAGGAATATGGTTTGATTTAATTTTAGTAGATTTTTACGGCGCTCGCAACTGCATAAGGTCATATGAGCGCCAAGGGGTGAATGTCAAAAGAGAAGTCCATACAGGGAATCAGGCTTACTCTGAACACCTCTCTAGCTTCAACAGCACAAAGTCTGCTTTGATTATCAATGCACCCCGGAAATAGCAGGTCACAAGAGTGTAACAAACAAACAAAAGAAGTAGAGGGAGAATGACGATTGAAAGGATTAGGAAAGAAAAAGCAGCAGTTCCCCCATTGCAGTTCAGGTGCAGTTATGAGCATGATATTGATGAATCAGCCCATTCACAATTCTACTGTGCTTGAATGAGAAATGTCCGCCTTTTGGGAATGGCCTATTTTAAAGACACTACAGTCAGTGGCACTGCCCCGTAGGGTGGCTTGAGTAAGAAAAGATTAACATTTTGTTGAGCCCCACAAAGCAAAGGTTGGAGAGGGGAATGTCCAAAATAAAGTGAAAGCATCATTGAAATTTTAATGATTCACTGACTTAATAATAATAATAATAATAATGAAGATCATTTCTATAGCACCCATTCCGGTGTAAACACAGCTCTAGGCGCTTTACATAAATGCATGTACGAACAATACTCACGCACGCGACACACACACGCACATACACACTCATACACACACACACTCACGCACACATGTGCACACACATGTACGCCAAACACACACGCACACACACACACATCTACTTGCTTATCACACGCTTAATGTTGCAAGACAGACAGACAGAGATATACAGAAACACAAAAGGGATAGCAAAGAAGAAGGACCTACTACTGGAACCCTCCAACCATCCGTAACTAACAATTTACAACAAGTGACTAGCCACACACGACCAGTTATTTTAGTTTTAGTATGATGAGTTTTATGGCACTTGCAACACAATTAGGTCATGTATGTAAGTGCAAAGAATTCAAGGTTTCACAAGACTAACATACAGAGTAAAGAAAGAGGCGTGGTAAAGATGATAGATGACAGATCTTTGATAGGAAATAAGGAGCAAACCACACCAGAGCTCCTGCCAACCACCCATACATGCAACCAGGCAAAGATATCGAACCACAGGTCATATTAATGACACATAACAATGTACAGTCTTTTTAGTTTTAGTAGAGGTTTTACGGCGCTCGCAACTGAATAAGGTCATATGAGCGCCAGAGGATTTGAGGTGTTACAAGAGAGTAACAAACATAAAAAAGAAGAAGGGGAGATAAGGACGATAGATGTTTCATAGGAAAGAAGAAGCAAACCACACCAGAGCACCCGCCAACCACCCACAATGTACAGTCAACTGAGATTAAGTTTTTGAGGCGAGTCAGCACAACAGTGATGGCCACATTTCATCACGAACATACAACAATATGACCAACAAGTCATTCACAATGACAATAATCATACTATACTATGATAATAACAATAATGATTTGGATTCATTGAGTGCATTTCCATTCTGTAAAAGTTCAATGCTCATAAAGGAGAAGGATCTGACCACACCAGAGTAGCCACCAACCACTCGCAGAATTTGTATTACACACTAGCCACACGAGATATCAGTGACTAGCCACTCGTGAGAACGATTGACACCACTTTGCATAAATTACAAACCATTGATTCTCATTACCGTTTATTCATGCATTACATCAATGAGAATCTAAACCGGCGGCAGCTGAGGGTTATCTCGCTTATTGGTGGACTCAATTTCACACATATAACAAACACAGGTGGATTCTTCAAATATGCCAAACATTTTCAGGAAAAAAGTCTCCTTGCCATGGAGACAGACACAGACACATATATAATACACTAGCTGGGCCCACTTTCGATGAAAGGGATGATCGGTGCTTTAATATAAGCTGAAAGTCATTGGCCTAATATATTTACACTCTACTGGAATGGGGAAATAAATCTTGAGAGATGTAAAAAATTAGGTCTAGATCTATACTCTCAAAACAAAATGCGCCTCGCAAAATATCACATCAGGATTTTCTAAAATTACAGAGACAGAAGCGTCGGCCTACAAAAGCGATCGGCGAAATAAAGAAATTTAGCTTTTTGCAGCAAAACTGTCTCATAACTGAAAAAAACCAAAG